CGATACCTATAAGAGGTAAGATGTGAGTAGGCCTAAATGGAAGGCTTGAGGGATCCTGTGTTGAGGTCTTGTGAGACGCGTCGAGCGTCGAAGTTCCTAAAAAAAAATAAAGAGAGAGAGGTCAGTTGTTCCTTTGGTCGCGAAGACGATAGAGCGAGGGAAACGAATTCGAACAGCCTACGGCGGCTGTGTAGAGTCGATAGAGGAGCTGTCCAGGCACTCGAGGCCTGACAGAGAGGGTTCGGCAGACGACTGCCGGGCGCGATTAGAGTGGAACTGGTTGATTGCTCATTCATGCCGATTCGGCTACATTTTATACTCCTTAGCTAGGCCAGCTTTCTGAGTCATATTAGTCATCTTAGCAGTGCTGAGTCAGCTTCTGACTCAGCTGAGTCATGGTTTGTCATATGCTGACCAAGATTGGGTGCTGCTTGGTAATCCTTTCCTGATATGGTCAGACTTTCCTGGGCTAGTTTTAAGGTACATGTTTAGTCTATTCTACTTGAAATATATATATATACACTACTAACGGAAATGCGAGCTACTGAATTAATTTAAACTGGAGGTATTTGAGCAGTTCCGCACCTATTCACTTTAGGGGCGGGACAACGCGGCCTGACCGAGTCCCTCCAGGCTGGGTATGACGACGGTCTTCTTGATGGCCGCGATCTCGGCCTTCGACAGGTGTGCTTGTGGGTCCCCCACTGGGGCATACGGCTTGGCGGCGTACGGGTTGACGCCGTAACCCTCCCCCCTCCCGGGAGAAGTTCCCATCGGCAAAGGAAGCGGGGTAGGAACACCGTCCGCGTCGGGGACCCACTGATACGACGTAGCCGACCCGGAATAGGTCGCGCTTCTGTCATCGGCCTGTGCGCCAATGCCCAGGGCACGCTCGAGTTGCTCGACACGCTGCTGCAAGCGTGAGACGTCGCGGGCGATGTTCGGAAGACTGATCGTCGGCGCCGGGTATGGCGCGATACGCTGATTGTACGAGCGCATAGCGTAGTGTCGTAGTGTAGCTGGAGTACTCAATAGAATTCTAGTTTTGTGCGACGGCTGTAGTGGTTTCTGCAGGCGCGGGTGGGTGGTATCGAACCCTTATACCGCCTGGTCCTATCGACCAGAAAATTTTGCCATCACCCTGGACAGGGGTGATACTCTGCGGCGTGACGATTGCACCTGGTGGTGCAGGCAACCCTACGATCGGCGTACGATTCCGAGGTAATTCTTGATATGTAGTTACCCCTTGAGCTTCGAAATATCTGTCTATCGCGGCCAAATTCTCTATGTTAACCCATGGTTCCCAAGAACTATCGCCGAAGGTCCATCGTACTAAAAATAATATTTCATCGTCGTCCCATTCATGGGCGACAATCTCCTCGACTTCTCGTTCGAGCTCATCGGGTTGCCCGAAGTCGTAGAAGCTCGTGGCTTCGCGACCCGGGAACTTGGCGTCGTCATTCGGCACGTGGGGCCGAAGCTTCGATATATGGAATCGCAGGTGTACTCTCCGCTGCCGTAAATCATTTGGCAATTCTATCTCGTACACACTTGATTCATTAAATGCTTTAATTACTTTAAACGGTCCGATAAACCGGGGCGCCAGTTTACGCGCGCGTTTGAGCGGGAGGCTTAGATTCGTTGTGCTGATGTATACAAGATCGCCCGGCGTGTACTCCACGTGGTCCCATCTTTGCCGATTCGCGTGGTGTGCCTGGCGCACACGCGCACCAATAATGGCGTCGTGCGCCCGCTCTAAGCAATCCCTCGCATTCAACATGAATTCTCGCACTCCCGGCGCTGAGTGTTCCGTAGGTAGTACATCTAGCATTCTCGGTATATACCCGTAATTTAACTCGAAAGGGCTGTATCCCGTAGTCTCAGATCGTGCCGCATTCATTGCGAACTCGGTGAGTGCGAGCATGTCGGCCCAGTCGGTCTGATCGGGCCGGACGAAGCTGCGCAGGATCTGCAATACCGTGCGATTTGCACGCTCTGTCACGCCGTCCGTTTGGGGATGGAAGGCTGTGGACATCAGCAGGCGTGTCCCCATCAGACGGTGAAGTTCCCGCCAAAACTTAGAATTAAACTTCGAATCTCGATCAGACACGATGCTATCAGGAACCCCGTGCAATCGCACAACCTCTTTGAGAAATGAGTATGCGAGTTCGCTCGCAGTTGTCTTAGTATTACAGGGTACAAGATGTACCATTCCCGTCAGTCTGCATATTATTACCCATAGGTAGTCGTATCCTCGGGACTTCGGGAACGGGCCCAGAAAATCCATCGCTATCGAGCCCCAAGGGCGGTTCGGTATCGGTAGGCTGTGTAACAATCCTTCGGGCTTCTGGTTCACGTCCTTTGCCGTCTGACAGAGATGGCATGATTTGCAAAAAAGGTCGACATCTGCGGCAATCTTTGGCCACCAATAGTAGCGACGCAAATACTCCGAGGTCTTGTTAGCGCCGAGGTGACCGATCGCCCGGTGCGCACCATCGATCACAAGCTCTCTCAACGCACGCGCTCCGAGCTTTCCGGAGGGCACGCAGATCACCTCGTTACCAAGGCGGTTCTTGGTGTATACCATCCCTTCCGTAATTCGAA